CAGCATATTATGGGTTAGTGCCTATTGCTGTATTCTCACTTTGAATGGCTCAACAGATTAGTTCTGAGATTTTTAAACGAGGATTAATCTAAGACTCTTTACAGTTGTTGCCGTTTCGTGGCGAGAGTCATAAGTAACTTATATTTAATAAGTGAAACTAAATACAACTATCACATTCAATTGTTTTTCTTATTTGATCAGTTTGAAATTGGATTGCAAAATCTGAATTCAAGATGGTCAACTAAGACGAATAATTTTATTAGATTTAAATTCATATTCATAAATATTTTTATTTAAAATATAATATGCTTATTTTTAACTTACAAATCTTAAAATTTTACATATTAATAAACTTTTCATATTTTTTGATTAACATACTTGAGATTTGCTCAATTCTAAATAAATATTTTCAGATTCTACCTTAAATATCATAGTTTTCAAACTTTTATGTTTCTTAAACTCTTCATTTATCTTGTTTATTTTATCCTTTTCAATTTTAATTTGCATACTATTTTTATATCTAGAATAATATTCAGAAATAATCACGTTTAAACAAATAATTTTTTTCATATTTTTTATAATAAATAAAATTTCATCAATATCATATACAGAATCTTTCAATGTGAGATATCTAAGATTTTGTAATATAGTAATATTCTTATATAAATTTTCATCATAAACTACCCAATTTAAATCAAGTCGTATTATTTTCAGAACTTTCTTGAACAATATCGAATAATCAAAAGTAAAATTTATATGAGACAAATTTAAAATTTTCAAATTATCAATATTATCAAATTTGTTTAAATCCAAATCTGAAAAATAAATATGTGCGATATTAATAATTTTGATTATATTAGATTTTCTTAAAAATAAATGTGTAATGGTTTTGATGACTTTTTTATTAATCAATGATACGATAGATTTTGTATCGATTAATTTCACATAACTTAGATAATTAAAGAGTGTATTTGAATATGTTTTATCTGGAAAATATTTTTGTAATATTATTTGTTCTTTGTCATTCAGATTATAATATATAATCCTTTTTAAAGAATCAACATTTTTAAGATTTTTATAATAAGATCCTATTGCTTCATAGTGTCTATGGCAATACCCCAGTGGATCTTGCCAAAGTATTGGGATCGCAATTCTTGCCCATGTTCTTGAAACCATGATACAATTGAACAATGATATATCCATATCATAAAGGTACGAAACAATCATAATAACTAATTCATTAATCATGTTTATCTTTATATTCATTAAATATCAATTTTATCGATTAATACCAAACATTAAATTTCTTTATTTATATAAATTTAAATTAATAATTATTTTTACATTTGATTAATAATATCAGAATAAAATTATTAATTTAACATTTTATTTTATATTATTAATTATTAAAAATATAAATATTAAAGATTTTTTTATTCGTTTAAACAACATTTTTTTTTAGTACAATTTCTAATTTTTTCAACTAATTCTTTCTTATTTTTACATAATTCAATCTTATGTTTTAATGCTTTATTTTTACTATTTGATGAATATCTTATATTAGATACAATAAATCCTTTATAACCTTTATATTCATTACTTATTATTCCACCTAATCGTTCAATAACATCAAATCCGATACTTTGCTTATCTCTATGTTTACAACACACTAAACATTTTAAACCATCTTCATGGTTTATCAATATATCTTTATCTCGATCTGAATACATAACTCCATCATCATCCATATCTTCTTCGATTTTTAGATCTTTTTGTTTTTTACAAAAATCAATAATTTCTTCTTTGTATTCTTTACACTTCTTAAGAAATTGTTTATACTACAAAAAATACACACTTATGAATATTATAATGCCAATGATCGGTAATATCTTCCAGTCAACCCCATAATCATATATAAATATTAAAGTTATCGAAACACGATTATTATGATATATGGCAAACCATCATCTCACTTGTCTCGTTTAATAACTTTAACTTATATGTTTTGTTAAAACTAGCATGAATTATTCAGTTATAAACTACCTTTTCATTTCTTTCTACATTGTATTTTGTGATTTTAGTCATTTTAATTTAATTTTTTCTTAATAAAATTAAGGTTTATTTATAAAATTTTGTAATTAATAATCACTATGTTTTATTTTTAATAAAATATTTTTCGAAATAATTGTCTAATCTAAATTTTTTATCTTGTATAATTCTTAAGTAAAAATCTAATAAAAAACTATCTTTGATTAAATAATAATATTTTTTATTATGATATTCATATAAAATTTCTGCGGCTTTCTTATTTCCGACAAATATTGCCTTTTTTAAATATTTTATTATTTCGTTTCCATTTTCAGGATACTCTAAAATAAGTCTTTCAGCATATTTACAAAAAACCTCTGGTACCCTACCATATAATGCACATAATCGATACCACTTTAAAATACTTCTACTATTCTTTTTATCTTCAAAACCTTTTTCTAAATATAAAGTATAATAATACATAGCACAATATCTTGAATATTCAGTAATTAAACCATTATCTCGTTTATATTTTTTAAATGTGTTAAAATTTTTCATTGTATATATTTCATCTAATGTTAATTTTACTGCTTCAGTAATCTCTTGTCTTACTTCTCTTTTAATATTTTCTTTTATTGTGAATTTGAAAATAAAATAATAATTGTATTCTCGAATAACATTATAAAAATATTTGTTTATACATAACAATGATTTTATATGTGTTTTTATTGCTTTCTTTTTCTTTGCATATGACAAATAATTAACATTATCTTGAAATATATCCAAAAATACTATTCTTATCATGATATCAAAAATCTCAGGTAAACAAAAAATAGGATGCATTTTTTTTATTCAAATTTTAAAATCGTATCTTTTATTACATTTTTAATTACTAATAATATATTAGTTTATTAATAATTGAAAAATAAACATGAAAAAAATCTTTCTTAAATATTAAATTAACAATTACTGTCTTAGAATTAAAAACAATATCTTTTTTTTTATAAACTTTTTTTTATTATATAAAAATATTTGTATTTATATACTCAATTAATAATACATAAATAATATTTGATAATTTACTAAATAATATTAAAAAAAACTAAAAGTATAAATTAAAAATACGATAAATTTATTTATTTTAATGAATTTATTAAAAAAAAGAATAAAATAATAATTAAAAAAAAAATTATTCTGAAAATTCGAGTATTAATTCATTTTGAATATTTTAACATTTATTTCATTTTTTATAATTAAAAGACTAATCAAACACACGAAAATAGTTGAATCATGTTCTTGGTTTGTTGAGTCATTGTTTTAAATCTAAAAAAAAAATAATAAAAAAGAATAAATAATATTTTTATTATAACATAATTCTAATATAACATCAAGTGAATATCTATACCAAATATCTATTGTTTTCATCATAACCTCTTTCAAGTGATAGACGATTATGACAGCGTTGCAACAATAGATAAATGCTAAAAAATATAATTCAGTGAAGACTCACATTATTTTTTTTTCAGTTTTTTTTTAACTTTTTGTATCAAAAAAAAATTAAACACAATTTCCTTTTTTTAAACTTTTTTTTTATTATTAATTAATATCATTTGAAAATACAAAAGAAAATTAGAAAATTCTTTTAAAGAATTTGATTACTAATTAAATTACACCAGAAATGATTCATTCCTTATTTAAAATAAAGTTTAATTTGAAAGATTGATTGATAAAATCATTTGTTGATTGTACATAAAAATAATAAAATAAATAATAAATATTTTTTTGGAATGTTCTAATAATAAATTTTCTTCTTTAATAAAAATAATATAAATAAGATTTTTTTTCGAAAAGTATTAAAAAATTAAAATTGAAATGGATTCAGATAATAAATCTTGTTTAAAACATTTATATAAAATCGTAACAGATATATACAATGATTTAAAAAATTCAAAAGATATTGATAATGATATCGAATTTATTAAAAACCATTTAACTCAAGAAATACTATATTATCAAGAAATGTATTTAGGTTTTCCAATAAATGAAATTATAATTGATTATAGAGAAAAATTTTGGTTCGTGAATAAATATAAAAAATATGAATATGTTAATCAGTTTTATAAAATTTACAAAGAATTTAAAACTTTTTATGATGAAAATATTTATTAAAATAAATTTATTTATTTTTTATATTACTATTTTTTTTTTAATTTGTTAAAGCCGATATTTTGGAAAAAAATTAATATCAATAAAATCATGAATGTAATCAAATCTTAATCTGTATAAGTTTAATTTATATCATTTAATAAATTATGTTTTAATAAACTTTATTATATAATACAAATATAAATAAATAAATATAAATACAGTGATTAATAATAATTAATAATATTGATGTGCTAAATTATTTTTATAATAATTTTCTAAATCTATTAGTGACCAAAAATATTTGATTCCAAATTTTTCACAATATAAATTAACATTGTAAAACCAAACTTCAAAATCATTTTCATAACTTTTAGCTCGGTGTTGCCTCAAATTAAAAGTTTCATTTAATGAAAAATATTTTTCTCCTTTATTAAACATATTAAAATAAGATCCAATATGCGCATCTAAAAATCCAATAATAGATTTTAGTCTTTTATTCTTTGAATATGAATTTAGTTTTCCAAATTCAATAATCTTTTTTTTATAAAGATAATTAATAAATTCTTCAAAACTAATAAAAATTTTGTATTCACTAGTTTCTAGATATTTCATTTCAATAACAAATTGTTCTTCACATTCGATTGTTGGTAAAGAGCTTTCAAAAGAGTTTTCTTTATTGATGATCGACTCTGACGACCAATTTTCTTCTTGAATAATATCATTCCAATCTTTAAAAACATTTTTATTTTTTTTACTTTGTTTATTAGAAAATTTTTGGATTAGTTTCTTGATAAATTTCATTTTTTTTTTTTTGACAATCGATAAAAATTTTGGATTATCATGCATCATGCATCTGATTATTAAATACTTTATTTTAGTATTTTCATAATATCTCAATTTGTACATATCAAAAGGAATGATTTAAAATTGGTATTCCGTAAACAAAAAAATTATCATATTCATCTGCCCCAAATGTTGGGAATAGAATTAAAGTCTAGAATTCTTGATCAACAAAATGATTATTAATATAATTCAGATAAAATAAATAAGTTTAATATTGGTAATCTGTAATCACGAATACAAATAATAAACATTTAACTATATATATTATTTCATTCATATTTATTCATCATTTATTTTATTTATTTGTTTATCTGTTTATCGTTATCTATATTCATCAGTTTATCATTTACCAATAAAATTTATCGGGTTTTATCATATGGAAATACAATCCGTTTCAGTTCTTTGGTTTTAAAAGAATTATCATCTAAAATAAATTACATCTTATTAAAACGGATTCCACTTCCTTTCATCATAATTATTAATTTCATCATATGGGCTTAAGAAAAAAAATTAGGTAAGATACTCACAACGTTATTACTACCAACAATATTTTTTTGTTGTTGGATGTCTTTAAAGCAAAGACAAAAACAAAATAAAAAGAAAATACAGAATAAAAAAATCAAAATAATGGAAAAGGTAAATATCCATAATTTTTGGATAGTTTTGATGACATTTTTAAAAGTATCTTCTTGTACGATAATAATTTGCTTAGTATCTGAAGGCATATCTAAGGAAAAAAATTATTAAAATCATGTAAAAATTATCGAATCCAAACTCAAATACTTACTTTTGAATCTTAATTAAAACCCATTTTTAATATTTTACAAATCATCGTATTTTTATGTTAAAATTATTTATTAATAAAATGGTATTCAAATTAATAATTAAAAATACAAAATATAATTAATAATGATATAAACAAATAAAATTTTAAAATAAAGATATTAATAATGATATTGTTGTACAATATATTTATAAACTAAATTATTATCTGAAAAAAACCCTGAAATTCCCGTTAATTTTTGTAATACCTAAATCGATATTTCCATCATTTACTTCTATAGAACTAATCTTATTCTGATTATTAATATTTTGAACATCCGTAGTACTGTTTTCTTCTACATCTTCCATGATTTCGATTCTACATTCTTTGTCTGAATTAATTAATTTTAATATTCCAACCTCTTTTTCAATCGTTTCATGACTTTGTTTTAATAGATTATACTCTTTTTTTATATTTTCATGATCCTCTTTCAATGAGTAATATTCTTTTTTCATATTTTCATAATTTTCTTTTAATGTATTATATTCCTTTACTATTTTTTCAGAAAAATCTTTGTGTTCTTTAATTGTAATTTCCAATGCATTAATCTTTTTTTGTTTATTCGTTTGATATACTCATTGTGCAACACGATTATTATATGCTTTTTTATTTTCTTGTGCAAGTTTATCATCGTTATTTGCAAGTTTTCTTCCAACTTTTTTTCTATTATTAGGTTTTTTAATAATTTCAAGTTCATTAATTGATAATTCTTTTGGTAAAACATTTTGTAAGTTTTTATTCAAAATTTGAAATTCATCGTCTTCATAAGATGTCATTGGTGTCATGGGAGTCATTGGAGTCATTGGCATTGGTGTCATTGGAGTGTTTGGAGGAGCATTCATTGTTAAATGAGACATTTTAGTATCTTATGAATATGAATTTAATTTTGTTGAAAGAAATATCGAAAGGGAGAATTTTATAAAAATTGTTATTAATAATAGCAGGTTAATTTTTATTTATCAATTATTAATAATCTTGTTCAATATTAATAAATATATATAAAATTCATTAATAATATTTATAACTTTATAAACAAATGATTTTATTCAATCACCAAGTAAAATGTCTGTAAATCAATGTTGTATTTGTTTGACTGAAATCAATTATAAATATTGTTTACCCTGTAAACACGTCTATCATGAAAACTGTATCAGAGAATGGTTAAAAAAAGAAACATCGAAATTCTGTCCTCTATGTCGTGATGAAATAGATGAAGAAGATAAAAAAATTATCTATAACCAAATTGAAAATAATCTTTTATTAAGAAATAAAAGAAAAAGAAAAGAAGAAAATATGGTTGAAGAAGAATTTAATAAAAAACTAAAAATTCTAGAAAAGGAAGAAGATTCGATAAAAAAAATCAAAAAAAATATTAGAATTAAGAAACAAGAACTTAGAAATGAATTTAATATTAAACTAAATAATATTAAATTAGATGAAATTGAATTAACTGCTAATGTTCTTAAAAATATTGATGATAAAAAAAATAATTTAGTAAATAAAAAAAAAGCATTATTGAATCAGATTGAAAAAAAATATGAATTATGATACAAGTCCATTTAGTAATTTATTATTAATAGCTATAGAAAATTCTAGTATATCATCGAGTTTTTTATCATAATCTTTTTGGTCTTTTGTTTTAATTTCGAGATTTTCATATATCTCATCTATTTTATCATGATATTTATCATCATTATTCAATAAACTTTTTTCTTTTAATATTTTTTTTATATCGATTGACTTCTTATCATTTAATAAATATTTGTTTTTGGCCCATATTGTAATAAATGTTGTGATAAATGTTATCAAAATCAATACTAAATCTGCGATAAATTTATATATTAAAATTTCTTTATATATTAAAATATCTTTTTCGGTTATAATATCGATATCTATTTTATTATTTGGAATAATTATTAATACAATATTTATAATAAAAAAAATAAAATAAAAAAAAATAAATGTAAATATTATTGAATAAAATTAATCTCTTCTACATCATTAAATATTACACCATTATATTCACATTTCTTTATATTTTTAAAAGTAATAACTAATTTCTTCTTACTTTTGTTAATTTGACATTTAATAGGCTCTTTATCTTCAACTAATTCATTTTTATTTTTTTTAATAGGCCAGTTTAAAAAATCTTGTGAATTTTGTAATAAATCATTTAATTCATTTGCTCTTTTTCTCTTTCTCTTGTTTTGTTTTTCAGGAATAAAATCACTATCATAATTTTTTTTACGTTTCTTTACTAATTTATCATCAGATGAATCAATTATAATCTTTCTTTCGAGTCTTCTAAAATTAAATTTTTTATATTTATCAAATCCATTTTTATCATTTATACCAGATTCTATAATTTGTTCGGAAATTATTTCATCTACTTCCTTCTCACTCTCATCAATATTCGATTTTTCTACCATATCTTCATTCATCATTAGTAGTTTCCATGAAACTTTTGTTTTAAAAACTTCAAAAAAATCTTTATATTCGCATATATTAACACTCTTATTATCATAAGGTATATTTTGGTTTGAAAAAATAAAGATTCGTTCTAATTTGATATTTTTATCCAAATTATTAATAATCTTGTCAATTTTATAAAGAGGTACATCTCCTTGATATTGGTATATTCCATATATTAAGAATGTTTCGAAATTATAGATTCCTTCACAACTAACTATATTAGTTCCTACATCTTTGTGTTTACATGATATATTAAATCTTTCATAAAATTTGTTTATAAAATTAATCTTGAAGGTTTCAAAACTGAAATTTAAAATTTTATTAAATTCCATCTTTAGTTTTTTTCTATCTTAACCTATATTCCAATTTATAAAAAAATATTTTTAAATAATTAATAATATAATTTATTCGATTAATAATTATAAATTTTATAAATAATTCAAAAAAATAATTTAATAAAATAAAAAAAAGAAAAACTACTATGATTTATAATAATAAATCTAAAGACACTTATCAAATTATGAAAAATAAAAAAAAAAAAGTTATTTCAAATAACAATAAACCTTGTAAAAATAAATTGACATGTCGAAAATGCGAAAAACAAGATGAAACATTTCATCATATTTCAAATAAACTTGAAAGAATTGAAAAAATGATCAATGAATATAGTGATAATATCGATAAATTCGTTCCTAGCAAATTAGATTTTTTTAATGTCAAAACTGAAGATTTAATCAAATTGTCAAAACAATATGTAAAAAAAAAATAATTTTTAAATTTATTTTTTCTTTTTTTTTTTATGTTTATTAAGTAAATAAATTTTAATAAAATAAATTTTAATAAAATTATATGTTGATTACAAATTAAATATTATTGTGAAAATAAAATTAATAACATTTTTTGCATAATACATGAAAATGAAAACCTTTATTGGTTATCTCTAATGTTTTTTTTGGAACATTGAATATACACATATCGGTTTTACATTTATTATTCTTTTTAATAATTCTATTTGCTATCTTGAATTCCTTACAATTATCACATATTCTCTTATTAATATCCTTTATATATTTTTTATTATATGGTGTTAAAGTAATTATACTATTAATTAAAAAGAAATTAGGATCATAATCTTTATTTTGATAATTTCGTTCATGACAATAAATTGAATTATCATCATTTCTTTTAAGTTTACGACGTGTATTGTTAGTAAAATAAATCCAATCATTTTTAATTTTCAATATTTCTTTGATAAATATATTATCTTCAAAATCCTTTATTCTAAAATTATAACACATAACATGAATTTCAGGATCAATATTTTCAATTTTTGGATTTGAAAAATATGTATATCTTATATTTTCTTGATAAATAAAATCAAATGTATAATAAAATTGTTTTGATATTAAATGTAATTTGATTTGTTGTTTAAAATTTAAATATTTAAATATGATTATCATTAATTCCAAAGGAATCATGTAAAATTTATTTTTATCCATATTTTTTTTAAATTTATTTTATTCATAAGTTATTTTTATAAAAATAATTTAATTATTAATATTACATATTTGAATTACTAATATTTATGTGACTGATTAATTCTTATTACATTTATGATGTTTGAAATAATAACTTGATGAATATCGTTTAGTACAAATCCCACAAATAAATTTTTTTTTATTCTTATGTACATTGACATGTTTGTTATAATTTGAAATTAGTGTTGTAGAATATTCGCATTCATCACATATATGATGTTTCATTTTAATATGTTTTTTATATTCAGATACATCAACAAATTTTTTCGTACATTTGTCACATGAAAAAGTGACTTTTGTTATTTTAGGAGTATATCTTTTTTTGCAATTGTCACATAAATTCATATTTTTAAAACATAATAAATGTAAATACTAAACACGAACTACTTCTATTTATTAAAAAAAATATACAAATAATTATTAATCATATAACAATATGAATAATATCACATTGTAAATTAAAATCTCGTATAACTTTCTAAACTTAATAAAGCTAACAAATTCGAATATCTTACAAAATATACATTTCTATTAAATCTTGCTTCATCCTTTATTGATGCATTTTCATCACATACTATAAATATCTTATATCGATTCCATCGACTTTCAACTGTTCTATTTATCATAGAAATGAATGATTCGACATGTAATCTATTAACATTTTTTGCTTTTATCCCACAAATTAATATTTTTCTTTCTTGGGTAAATGCTCGACTTCTAAAAACAACAATACCATAATCAATTTTATCTCTTGAATTATTCAAAGGAAATACAGTTGTATATCAGTTATTTCCTAATCTATCAGTTAATTCATTCATTATAATTCGAGTAAAAAAATTGTGTTTTTTTGATATAGTTGCCATGTTTATTTTTTGGATTAAAATCATGATGACAATAAAAAAAATTAAACTTTTATTCATTTTTTTATTAATAATGTAAAATTAAAAATTAGTAATATATATATTTATATTAAAAAACATTTTTAAATTTATCATTCATGAAATCTATAACTTTTTGATTCGCTTTTAGTTTTTAGGATTAAAATTTTTAACACATAAATTTTCTGGATTAACACTTCTTAATAATGCTACATATATTTGTTCACTTTTAAAAACTCTTCCACAATCAATTATTAATCTTGGGATCGTCATACCTTGCGATTTGTGAATTGATATAGAATATCTTAATTTCAAAGGAAATTGTGTTCGGGTAACCATTTTTACATGTTCATTATTTTTTTTAATCCATGTTTTCCTATTAATAACTTTTTCTTCTTCAACATTTTTAAATTTGACGATTGGTACTAATTCTTTTGAATTAATTTCTTTAGGAATTTCGTTTCTATATTCCATTTTAGTTTCTACATGTTTAAATCCAACCACTTTACCTTCAGATCCGTTAACTAATCTTTCATTATTTTTATTGTTCCAAATAAGTAAAACCTCAGCATTGATTTTTAAATATAGTGTTTCTTCGGCTAATGTGGATTTATCTATCCATTCCACCAAATTATCGTGTGATGGACTTCTCATATTGTTTTCTTTAGCAACAGACCAATCATCAGATTTATATATTAGTATTCTACCATCCATATCATTCAATTTATTCCAATTATGTATATTCACTTCTTTATTTGTTGAATAAAGTCTCGTTGGTTCTTCACCATCTTCATATTCGATGTCTCGTGATAAATTTTTGATATAAGTAACAAAATTGTCATTTATTCT